GCGCTCGAGCGGACTCACGCACCCTCCACCGCCGTACTGGCGGCGTATTCCGCCTCACTCACTGTACTCGCAGCCCCGTGTGCCCAAGCGCTGCTCCGAAGGCACACGGCACAAACACCGCCTTCCCGCCCCGAGGCTGGCGCGCTTGCGCACGTAGGCGACCAAGAAGCTCGAGGCGACGGTGGAGCAGGAGGCGTGGGGGCAGGTCGAGGTGCCGGCAGAGTACCAGCGGCTCGTCGACTCCATCGCCGCCAACCAAGTGCCGGAGGCGCCGCCCGCATCCGCCGCCGACCACCTCTCGGCCGCCGCCGCCGTCTCCGCGGCGGTCGGGTCGGCGGAGGCGGAGCCGGAGGCGGAGCGGCAGCCGAGCCGCGCGTCGGACATCGTTGTCTCGGGCGCGGGGTACAAGGTGGTCGGCTCGGGCCCTAATTACTCGATTACCATAATGGAGTAATTGATTAGGCGCGGGGTACAAGGTGGTCGGCTCGGGCCTCATCCTCCTCTCCACCGTCGTGCACTACCTGCAGTGCGGCGCCGCGGTGCCCGCCGTCGCCCCGCCCATCGCGCACGCGCTCCCCGTGCTGCTGCGCGGCTACCACACCCACGCCTACAAGCAAGTGCTGATGGCGGGCGCGATGCTGCCGACCTCGGCAGGCGAGATGGCCCGAGATGGCCCGAGATGGGCCGAGATGAGCCGAGATGAGCCGAGATGAGCCGAGATGAGCCGAGATGAGCCGAGATGAGCCGAGATGCTGCCGACGTCGTTAGATGCAGAGATGCAGATGCAGAGACGCAGATGCAGATGCAGAGACGCAGATGCAGATGCAGAGACGCAGATGCAGAGACGCAGGTGGGGTGCACTGCCTCGCGGCTCAAGCTGAAGCGTCGCCTCTGCAGGACTCAAGTCCATCTCCTTCAAGCACCTCGCGCTCTCCTCGCAAAGCCTCGGCGCCATATCTCCCCACACCTCCCCCTATCTCCCCCACATCTCTCCTCGCAAAGCCTCGGCGCCATATCTCCCCATACCTCCCCCCATCTCCCCCACATCTCTCATCGCAGAGCCTCGGCCCCCTCCTCGCTCCGCCTCCGCGCCTCGCCCTCGCACCCCTCCTCCTCAGCCTCTTCCCTCGTGGGCTGGCACCAGGCGTCCTCCTCGCGTCCCCATATCTCCCCATATCTCCCCATATCTCCCCAGGCGTCCTCCTCGCGCTGCTGCCGCACCTCAAGGCGATCCTCGCAGCCTACCTGCCGGAGGCGTGCCGCCGAGGGGCCGCCGAGAGGCCGCTTAGATAGCTTGCGGGCTGATGCTCGGCGGGCGGCCGCGCCATCAGCGCTATTCTCCTTTTCGCCGTTCGGATCTCCTGCCCCTTGCTGCCGCGCGGGGCCACGTCTGGGGCTCGTCCGACGCGTCCGCGACACGTCCACAACACGTCCACGACACGTCCCTCAGGCGCAGCGGCACGCGCTCAAGGAGTTCGACGGCGTCGAGTCGGACCTCGAGGCGCACCAGCAGCAGATCTTCGCAAAGTTCGTCTCCATCCTCGAGGAGCGGCGCCGCGGGCGAGTGAAGGACCTCTCCGCCGCGCTGGCGCCGCCGCAGGCGGTCGCACAGCGGCAGCCCGAGCCTCGTTGACCACTTCAGAGTCAGTCGTTTCCTAATCACTGAGTAGGCGGGCGCACAGCGGCAGCCCGAGCCGTCGGCAAACATCAAGGCGGTGGCCGCCGATTTGCGCGCCGTGTACAAGACGCTGCGCGACCTGCTTACGCCGCAGCAGCTGCACAAGGCGCTCGAGAGATCTGCCCTGCTCACTCATCTCTCCCTCCACCCCCCCCCTCCCCCTCCCCCTCCGCAAGGTGTTTGAGCTGATCCTCACTGCCTTCGACGCCGGCCTCCTCGAAGCGTACCGCGGAGTCGACACGGCCACCTCTGCCCCGCTAGCCGCACATTGCCCTGCTAGCCGCGAGACTGCCCTGCTAGCCGCGAGACTGCCCTGCTAGCCGCGAGCGACAGAGCCGCGACAGTCGCCACGCAGCCGAGATGCAGGCGAGATACCAGGGGGGGGGGGGGTGCACAGGCAGGGCGACATGGCGCCAGCCTTCTCGTGCATCCCTGGACCCAGCCTCTGGGCGTCACTCTAGGCGCCCGCCTTCTCGCCGAGATACAGCCGAGATACAGCCCGAGATGACCGAGATGCACCCGCCCCTAGGCGCCCGCCTTTTCGCCGAGATACAGCCGAGATAGAGCCCGAGATGACCGAGATGCATCCGCCCCTAGGCGCCCGCCTTTTCGCGGCAGTGCATCGTGCAGGACGTGCAGTTCTTGCGCAAGGAGGTCGCGCGGCTGCACCTCTCGCTGCCAAGCGGCTGCTGCCCAAACCTGGTCGCCTTCGCGCTCGCGCTGCCGGTGGCGTAGTCGGCCCGGCCGGTGCAGGGGGCGGGCAGGGGGTGGAGCGGCGAGGCGGAGAGGTGAGGAGGCGCGGTGCCGCGGCGCCGGCGAGCGAGCGGCGTCGGCCGGCGACGGGTCGGAGGAGCCAATGGAGAGGGTCACGCCGAGGCCCGGGGGGGGGGAGAGAGGAGGCGGGAAAG